GGCAGACTGAGGAAGAGAGCCGAGGAGGGACGGTCATGCTCATGAATAGGCTTTGATGATTTCTCATATCTGCTTTTTGTCCTACTCCCAGACAGCTTTCTACTCTGATCTGAAATGGATGCTTCCTTTGAGCCCTCCTCCATCTCTATTCCTCTTGTTTTGTCTCTACTTCCTTTTTTTTTTTTTGAGGGGAGGGGGAGGGAGAGGGGAAGGGTAATGGTGGTGGTGTTCAGAAAGACCTCATCCATTAATAGAACAGTGTCTGCTCCAGATGCTTTAGCAATAGTGCTGCAGAACAAATGATATTTTAAATAATCAGCTCTTTTTTGTCATTCCCTGCCATTACTCAGGAAAGAGGAGCAATAGCATTATTTTCTGATGCTACTCAACTGATGCCTCTTGCATCACTCTTGAGCTCTGCTGAAGGTGCAAATTCTCAGACTGGAGGACTGTGGAAATGGGGTGCTGCCCTGCAGGACATCACGGCCCCTTGTCCAGCCTGGATGATGGGTTCTTCAGTAATTCAATGTGGAGCTGGGCTCAGCTGAGCATTGTGCCCTGATTTCCCAATGTGTGTAACAGCTGCTGTGCAGGCTGCCATGAGACTTTATCCATCAGTTACATTCGGGACTTGTCTTGAGTCCTAGGGAGTGAGCCTAGGAGGACAAGGACTATGTAAGGTGAAATGGCACATTCCATCACCTGTGTATCTTTAGGAACATGCTCTTGATGGCCTCAGCTTTATCTTCCAGAGCTGCTTTGTCTGTGTCATAGGAGGAGGATAGTGTTGGTGAGTGGCTTTCCCAGAATAATCCAGCAGTAATGGGTTTGAGCATGAGATGAGGCTCACTTTGAGTTGCAAGCAATCCAGACACATTCATGAGACACAGACACAACTGGTCACAAGTAAGGTATTCTTTTTTGTTTTTCAGTAATATTCATTATATGATAAAATGGTAAATGGAACTACTTGCTGAGCCTCTTACTGGTTTTCCTGTTTGTTTCTGCTTTTTTTTTTCCCACAATTTGGCACAGAAAGTACAGCTCTTCCAGCTGTTGAGTTTCAGGTTACCTTCTCTGGATATCTGTGTCTTCTGCTGTGTTTCCTGTAGCTCCTCATGGTGACTCCCCCAAACTTCCTAGCAGAGCCACACAGCTGGTGAAAAATCACCTTGGAGGTGATTTTGGAGGGATGCAGCTTCATTTTTGAAGTCCCAGAACCTCCCTTCCTCATCCTCAAAGCCTACAGGAGATCTGGTCTTACGGAAAACTCAAATTGTGCATTTTCTTTCAGAAAGAAAAAGCTGCCTGGAACCGAAACTGTTTGGTGGTGCATAGTATTTAAAAGAAAAACAACAGCAAAACACGTGAAAAGTTTCCTGGAGAGATGAGAGGACAAAGGGTCCTTTCTGTACTCGTTCTGTGAATTTAAGGACAACTTGATCTGGAATCCCATGCAATGTGCTCAGAGGCTACACAGTGTTCCCCACTTGCAGCAATAGCTGCAGGCTGGATTTAGTTTCCCAGGGACGAGTGATGGCCAGGATGCCAGGTGTAGGAAGATGCTGTGTCTGCGTGTCCTTCCTCCCTTCCGTCCTGCTGTCACCCATGCTGGGCTCCCCAAGTTCACACAGAGTTCTGCCCCGGCCATGGGCTGCTCAAGGATGTTGTGATCATCACCTGCACTCTGTCTGCTCTCAGCTCTGGGCTTTGGCCCAGGAGAGCGATCCGTCGTACTGAATTGTGTCATGTTGTACTGACTGTGTTTGGGAGGAATGAGGCTGCTGAACTCATTTTGCCTCTGACCTGAGTGGATAGAAATGCAGGTCTCCAGATGGGCAGCCAAAGGGCTGTGCTGAGTGCTGCTGCTCCACCTCACTGAGACCTGCCTTTTCCAGAAAATCCCTCAGATTCCTGGAGCACTCACCAGACCTTTGCTCCATCCTCAGATAGTGCCCTGCTTGCCAAATGGTGTTTTATCAGCTGCCTGCTTCAGCCCAAGGTGATACTGACCTGATACTTGGGAATGTGTGGTCAGAAGACACTAGTTGTTTAATGCATGATGTTATCACCATTTCTGGGAATAGCGGTGGTGCAAAATGAAGTGAAAGCTCCAGCTCCTTGCTATTACTTTCCTAGGAACTCCTAACCTTGTTAGAGCTGTCCTTCCCAGTGCTTCCTCATTGGGGAAGCAGCAGCCCCAGCTCTTCACCTGTGCCTGAGATCAGGATGCTTTCTTCACTGATGTGCTGCTTCCAAGTCCTATCCTTAAAAAGCAAATTCCCTCTGCAAAGCATAGACATAGGGGAACTGCTCACCCACACCAGAGCCATACCTTTCCCCCTCCTCAAACAAGCTCTCCCCCTGCTGCAATGTCATTCCTTAAGAAACTGATTCTGAAAGTGAATCTGTGTGACCATGACTTTGTGCAGCTTGGTCATCAGTCAGCAAGGCCTTTGTACTTTCATGCTTACCAAACCAATTCTCTGAAGGACATAGCAATCGGGGTTTTTTTCTTCCAGTTTCTTTCATGCAGATCACACATGTGATGTCACTTAACAACTTGGAGATACTTATAAATTGTTACATCTGTAGCTAATTAATCTTAAGGGCTTGCTGGTAGGATTGTGTAGCACTCATAAAATAAAAAGCATTCATGCCATTTTTACCTGGCCTTTTTTTTATAGTTTACAGTCTAAATCTTGTGGTTATCCAGTATGTGAATTTGGGCAAGTCATACAGCTCTTGCAACTTATTTTTTTCCATTGAATGCTAATTCTGGTAGCTCTTAGCAGCTTTTGTAGGCTACTCTGAAATTGTATGAGATGAAGAGCACAGCGAAGTTGCTAACTAGCTTTGGCTTAATTCTACAAGTAGCATGTCTATTGATATGGATATTGGCTGCAGATAAAAGCACCAGTCTGTCTTGGTGATGATATAATTGGAATGAGGTTTTAATCCAAAAACTGTGAAGACAGACAAGACTTTTTCAAAGGAATATATTATTTTGGATCATTCAGTGACCTTGGAGCTCCTGATATGTAAAGTCTGCTTGTGACACGGCTCTTCATTTCTTTAACTGGTGGTTAGATGTCAAGAGGAACCAGAACGTTGCTGTATGGGACCTGCTGAATCACAGCCTGAACCACTGATGGATCACCTGAGGTGAGCCCTAGGAGCACAGCTGAAGGCAATTCACCCGTGCTGCTGGAAGGGGTGGAGCTTGGCTCCACATCTCCTAGACCCCATTTAAGAGCTGACTACCAGAGGGGCAGGATCTCTTTCTGGAGATCCCTCCTTTTGGCATTTTGGCCAGTGAGCCCAGGACAAGGGTAAGCCCTCTATCTGTTCTTTTTTGGTGTAATAACCTGCTTAGCCAAACTCTCTCATGTATTTCTTAATGATAACATCTGTATATTCATTGGTTATACAGTTGCTCCCTAATGTGCCTTGGGATACTAAATCCACCTTGTAAATAAATGGGGTTCGAGTGCTAAATTACTGCAATGATTCTGATATTTTGCTTTCCATACAGTTTTAATGAAGTTGTTTCTGTGTAGTAGCAAGGGAGTGTGCTGGATCCACCACAGTCAGCCGCACTCCTTCTACCTACGTACACTGAACGTATAGAGATCATGTCTTTGCCAGTGGGTGGCTGGCATTGTGGATAAGGACCTGCCTCTGAGTCAGCTCTAATGCATTTAATACCCCCCTTCAGGCAATAGTAGCTTACACTTGTAAACTGAAAAGCTCTTTTGGGTTATGTTGCTCTAGATAAAGTGTTACATGCTGTACTAACCCATAGCATGCATCGCAGGCTGATTTAAAAACCATGCTATGCTCTCAGCTTTAATGTACTAAAGAACAGCCAGGACCTTGACAGCTCGCTAAATCAGAGAAGTGATTTGGAACCGTTGTTTCCAGAGTGCATGTGTCTGGCTGAACAGCCCAAATTGTAGCCTCTGTTAAAGTAGTTGCAATTAATTAAGCATTGCTGCGATGTGCTGGCCTGGGCTCCTGCCTCCATCCTGCATAGGAAGCAAGCACAGAACTGACAGGGTGGTAGGAAACAAAACAGGACAAAAAGTCTTGGTGGTGGTGAGCGAGGGAGAGGGAAGGAAGGGAGGGAAGCGGAGCACTCACTAGCAATACCTGGCCTGGAGGTAGATGCTGGCAGCTGCTGTAGAGCAGGGCTAAGGATGGGACCATGTTTGTGATCACACATGCTCACCAAACTGCACCACTGCTGGAAATGTTCTCAGGGATTGCAAACCACAGATTACTGAACTCAGGTAGTCCAAGCTTCCATCCAAATTGTGTAGGTTTTGTAAGATAGGAGAAAAGACATGAATATTGGGCGCATGCATCTCCTGCCTTGCCTTTCCTATGTGAAATGGTGAGGTTAGTCCAGAGAAACAAAGATGCTTTTTCTCCTTATTTTGGTGGACTGATTAGATTTTAGCTGTGACATCTGTGATTCTCGTTACTGGAATCAGCGCAGTACAGTCTGACTGTCCTGGATAGCAGGCTGTCGCTGTGGTTTGTCTGCAGGCCACGTGCATGCAGGAAAGCAAAGCCACTACTTAGTTTGAAGCCCTGCTCCTAAGAGGGCTGTAATACTGAAGTCACAGGGCATCCAAGCGACCTAGATGTAAATTACTCTGGTTTCTGGGGGTGTATAGCCCTCTTAGCCATTGGAAGCAGAACGAGTCTGCCCAGACTTACTGCTGCAGGATATCCATTCATCAAAGTACGTGACATGAGTAGCAAAGAGTTTCCCATCTGGAGGACTTTCTTGACCCCCTGAAATCCATGGCAATATTCCCACCTCTGAGCAGAGGCTTTGCTGCAAAGAAGCAGCAGCAGGACCTTTGCTGATGGACAAGGATAGAAGGCAGATATGCTCAGTGTCTCTGGAACACTCACAGACAAAGTTTTGTGATGTCTGCCTTATTCACTACATGTCTGTTGATTTTTCATTGTAGGTTCCTTGCATTGCTGCTTATTTGACTGATAAGCATATCCACGTGAATTAGAGAAAAATGGGTCAGTCTTTAAGTATCTGAATTAAGATTTTTTTTAACATATTTTTTCAGAATATTTTTCATTGACATAATAGTAAGATCTTAGACTGTCCTGAAAATCTGATGACTAAACCATCTGGTGGACGTGTAGATCATACCCTTCTTTCCTAACACGTATGGCCTTAGATAATTAACCTTTGCAGCACCACTGAGACCTGTAAAGAACTTGCTGATCAACAGCAAGGCAGCAGACCTGTTCCAGGTCAGAGGAGTTGGTGTGGGAGCTGGGATTGGATCCAGATCTCCCGAGACAGGGAGGTTTTTGAGGAATGTCTCTAAGGACATCTGGAAAGTCACTTTGTATTAAAAAATAAATCTAAAAAAATCGTAGGACATCCAATGCAGAAACAGCATCTCAGTTGTTCAGTTGTAAGAATAAGAAGTTTCTTAATGACCTGATGGAAAGGCTGCAGGGAATTCTCTTTATATCTGAAACTCCCTAATGGTTAATGCAAACCTCTTCTCTGTGGTCGATGTATATTTGCACTGGGAAATTGAATTAGTGTTTCTTACTTCTAGACAGCTCCAGTTAGACTTGGGTAACCTCAGCTGAATCTCCTTAGGTACTGACATGGCTGTGCATGCAAAATGTCTCTGCCCTTCCCCAAGGGTCACCACTGTCTCCTGGCTGATCCCTCACACAATGATGGAGGACACAGGTGGAAGTTTGGCTCCTTGTGGCCTTGGGAAGAAAACCGCTGTAAATTGGAAACCCTCATTGCTGAGGCTGCTCTGAATTAGCTGACAGCGGACCTCAGACAGGAGTTAATGAGATGGAGAGTTATAGCCCCATGGGTGGGTCATGCTACACTAACTGCGTATCCCTTTGTATCATTGATGATCCTCCTCAGTGCAGAAATCCACTCATCAGTGCCCTGGCTCGGGTTATGAATACTCTGTCCCCCGGTGCAGCTGTAATTAATCCCTCTGTGCCCATATGGTGGGCAGGTGTGCTGCCCTCCTTTGAGAATCTGATCCTGGTCTTACCCTGAGTGTTGGGTTTCCAGAGGGAGTCTGGGACACGGGAGCAGTGGGGTGACAGCCAGGGCTGAGCCCCTCTTGGGCACACAGCTGTGAGAGCAGGAGGCTCCTGAGATGGGAAGCACTGCTCTGGTGGTGAGCAACAGAGCCGGGTACTGGGACATGTATGGCACAATGTCCCTGAGGAATGAGGCAAAGAGAGGGAAGTACAGCAGCTTCCAAGGTAGGAAAACAGAATCTGCCACTGAACTGCAGGGCTTTGGTATGATGGTTATCCATTAGAACTTGTGTTGGGAATGTGTGTAGCCAGCATATATAGCAGTTGGATAACAATTGCAAACCTCAGCCTCCTTTCTTATAGTAGTGGGGTCCTGGTAATTTGGAAAAAATGTCAGTGGTTTTGGGGTTTTTTTTTTTTTTTTGAATTCTTGGAGGAAAAACTCCCATGTAATTTCTCCTGCTTTTGCAGCTTCCTCCATTTGCAGTTGGACTGTGCTGCTGAAGCAGCTGACACCTTCTGCTCTGGCAGAAACTGCTTTGTGCAGGGGGGCTTTACAATCTTCTGTGATGGATGGGGCTGGGCAGATTGGACAATTCACTCCTTATGCTCTAGATATGACATGCTGCACCAGAACTGAAGTAATGCATCTGAGTTGAATGACACTTGGTAGCCTACAGACGGGTCACAGTGGACTGCTACAGACTTTCCTGGGTGCAAGTGAGCTGGCAAATTGGTTGTTTGCTTCTAGATTCTTCTTTGCAAAGCACTAAAACATGCTGTGGAATCCTTAGGACAGAAGCTGCACTTTTCCCCCTCTGGCTGGGCTGGTTATTTTGAAACAAATGATTTGGGTTCAACAGAGAGCCCATGCTGCCTCCGCCTGCTCTCCCTGGGCGCTGCTTGGTGGGGCTTGGCTGTGCTGCAAGTTGTGGAAAGGTCTCATTTCCAGCCAGGCTTCCTGGAGCAGAGCCAGCTTCTCCTGGCTTCCTAGCAGGATTTTGTATTACTGTGGCCTCTGGGCCCAGCTACTTGCTTTTCAACTTTTCCAGTGTGCACTGGGCTCCTACTGCTGATGCTTAGATCTTAGTAAGCGTGGGTTAAGCAATGCGTGCATGCGATTGGGGTGCAGCCTTTGTCTTGGGAAGGGACAGGGAGAGGCAGGCAGGAAGCTGCTTGTGACCGTTTTGTTTGTTCAGTTGCCTCCAGGTCCCCTTTGCTCCACCGGAGCTCTTGGAAGGCTGTTTGGAGGCACTCAGGAACAAATTGGTTGCGATTGATTTTGGCAGTTCTTGTACCCCTTGCTCCTGACAGGCATCCTGCTGCAGAAGAGCCTTCCTTGCTGGTAGTATTCAGGAGTTGAGTTAGTAAGCCCGGAGAACACAGCAGGGCCACGCTTTGTGTATTAGGGCTCTTAGTCTTCATGATTTGCACTGGGGTTTGTGTTAAGGCAGAGCAACTGTAAGAGACTAATGAACGTTGGTCCAATGCATGTCCAATGTCTAGAATGTAGTTCTGTGCTGTGTAAAAGGGGATGGGCACATGCAGTTCCTGAAGTTCTCTGCCTACTGGACCATTAAGCTGTGGTTTATAATGTTTTCAAGGACTTTTTTTTGCTCCTAGAGCAAGAGCTTGGCATGATGGTACTGCTGGGACAGTGAGCTGGTCCTTTCTGGAGCTCTTTCATAGACTTCTGTCTGCAGAATAGCGTAAAAATAAATCCCTTTCAAGCCTGACACAGTGAACTTCATTAAGGAAACTCAAATTCTGAAGGAAAAAATGCTGCTTCCCTCAGTCCCTGAACGGCAGCAGAAGTGTCACTTGAGTTGCTGACAAACTCCTGCCCCATCTCTGTGTGCAGCCTGCAGTAACTCCCCCTCTGAAATATGAAGTATTTAGAATTGCCAAATTTGGAGTTTCTCATCCATTTGCTCCCTTAGTTTTCATGGTGGGGAAAGATGAGATGTATGTGCTCTGCACACACTGCACAGCCAGAGTTGCCTCCCTCAGCCGACGACCAGCAGGGTTTTGCAGCCAGTTGTGTTTCTGGTGACCCAGATGAATTCTGATCCCTGATGCATGTGGGATTTCCCTCCCTCCCACTTTTAGCTTTTAGGGTGTTTTTTTCTTTTTTCCCCTTTATTGATAGTTTCTAACATTTTTGAGGGAAGCTCTTGCTAACTAATAATTGAACCACCAACAAAAAGCATGAAAAAGACCTCAACTGAACTGAGGGGATTTGTTTTCATTTAAATTGGCAAATTCTGTAAATGCAGAGCAGGAAAACATGATCTTCCCTGTTGTCATTTCTTTATGGGAAACAGCTTGAGCCGTGTGTAAGGGGCTGTGCCCTCTGGAGGGGCTCTGCGCCGAGGAGCTGTGTTTCCCACAGCCTGTACTCCTCCCTTAATCTTTTGCTCCAGAACTCAGGATGAATCTCTGGGCTTATTGGGGTGGGTTTCTTTTTTTCTTTTTTTCCTAATCTTGTTTTAGAGTGAAATCTCTGCTGACCTGCCAACCACAACAAGCAGCACAGGATCCTGCTGCCTGTGAGTCTGCCCCTGGCAGCCCCTCTGCTCAGGGTTTGTCTCTGAGGTTGGAGCCCAGCCTGGGGTTCAGATACTTTCCGTTTTACAATTCAGAGTACTATAATAAATGAACAAATAGCAGCCTCTTTCCCAAGCACACACATATACGTGTATACGCACATATGCAAAGCTTAATTCTTGCTGTCCGTGGGCCTGGGGGCTGTTTACGTACAGCACTGCGTGTTTATATATGGAGTTCATCTCCTCAAGTGAAGACAGATTAAGCAGCAGGGTGAATAGACCAGTTATGTGAACTATGGGATTTCCAACCTAGAAACACTGCCAACACCAAGCCAGACAAATTGGTAGCGCAGCAGTGTTTCTCATTAATGTACATAGAAAGTTGTGCCTTGCTGATAATGCACTACAGCATCCTGCTGGGAGGTTTGGGAACCCATCTGGGAGCAGCCAGCAGAGCTGCATTAGAGGCTGGGCTGTGTCTTCTCGCTTTCCTCTCTTTCTCCTCTGAGAACCTTGCAGGGAAAAAAGCCATCCAGCTCCTCTGTGCTGACATCCTGAAGTCTGTGGAAATAACAGTATGTGGATGGCATGGTTTGCTGAACAGGAATTAGACTATTGCAGTCTCCCTACAGCCTTTTCCTTCTGTATGTGGTTCCCGTTTTCCATCCTCAAACAAATTATTTCAAACTTAGAAGTAAGGTTACCTGTCAGAGTTGTACACGATGGCTTGCTTTGTTGTTGCTAGTGTTGATACTGATGCTCAGGTTTGTGGGGTGGTTTTTGTATTCTACAATGAAGCGCTTTCAAGTTCTCTCCAGCCTCTGCGCTTCTAAAGTGAAGCTTCTCCTGCTGACAGCAGGCTGGGGCTGGTGATGCTGCTGAGCTGACCTGGAACTGCTGATTCTGCTGGGAAACACTGGACAAAAGAAAAAATCAAGTCCAGTTTTTTTGCAAGATAGGAAAGGGCAAAAATGTACATTTTTGGACTTAATGCTTGTTCGTGGCAGATTCTTCAGAGCAGAAGATGCGTCTGCTGTATGGTCCAAACCATCAGTCACATTCAACCATTGTTCAGGGGCTGGTGTCAGGTGGGTAAGGAAAACACTTTGGGGAGTGTGAGCACGTGTCTGCTGTGGTGGGGAAGGCATGAGGCCATGCAGCTGGCCAGACAGTGCAGATGGTGCTAGGCTGCCTACGCTGGGATATTATTGTCTCTCCTTGCTTCATTTTGGAGAAGGAAGCTGGCACTCGGCTCTCATTGTTTGGAGCCAGATAACAGTTTGTGGTGGGACCTGGCTGGGCCTTTCACTTGCTGCATCATGATGGATTAATAGGAACAATGCATTAGTGTGTTGTGGAGACGGATTAGGAACCAGCAAACCTTTCCTTTCCCAGCCATTGCTGTGTTTGAATGATGGCTTAGGCATCATTTTATTGCATGAGTGA